ATGAACACTGAACCTGGACTTCTGACCAATATGAATGAACAGTTTGCTTGCAGACCCGCTCCCCAAAATCTATCGTAGATCGAGCTGACATCTACAGACCCGCTACTCTGTTTTTTTTTTATTTGACAGAATAGCTGACATCTACAGGAGACTTAACAAGCCTGAGTGTTGAGAAGTTAATAGCATAACAAGTTTGGTCAGATGTCCATGAATAATCAGGTGTGGTTGGTACTTGATGCCTTGTTAAGGCCTTAAGGGAGAGAAGCCCAAGACGAAGGATGTTTTGTGAGGTTTTGTTAGTGATTACTTATGTTGTGAGTGCAATTGTTTCAGATTGCAGGGAGTATTGAAATTTGGTCTACTTTGACGGGACTATGGCTGCTTAGATATAGTGATTGAGTATTTGGATATTATTGGGTACTTTGCATGAAAACCAGTAATTTGAATAGCTTCAAGCAATGTTGCTTTCAAGAATTTCAATTATGTGGACACCCATATATGTTGTCATATACGAGTCAGGAGCAGTACGCATTGTCCAAAGTATATTCTTGTATTGTACCTTTTACTACGAGTAGCTGCACCGAATCTTTCCCTTCCATTTTTTTTTACTTATGCAAATAGATAAGCACTACCCCAGAACACACTGAACTAATTATAGCCACGAAACGGCAGTGATAGTTCACGTATCACTACGGGTTCGTGACTTGAACCACTAATGATAGGTTGTTTTTCACAAAAAAACAATCATAACTTTTCATATGAGGTTGGATCAAGACAGACTTTATGTCAAAACTGTAGAGTTCATATAGATGTAAAAAACTTGTATTTGACAACTTTTTATTTGAGATGATTTACACGTCGAAATGTTCAATATAAGTTCTTGGATCCGATTTGAGATGGTTAACAGTGTCAAACGGAGACAAAGTCAACATTAAAATTGTATTGCTCGATGGGATCTACAACTTTACAGTAACAACTTTTGTATTTGAGATCATTTGTGGAGTGTCAAATATACAATATAAGATTTGAAATTGTGTAGTTAAAAAATTGCATCAATTGAATAATCACATGTGTTGTGTAACTTAACTGGTATGGATGTTCTAGAAAATATGAATGTTGAGGTCTCGAGTTTAAATCTTGAAAACACATATTGTCTGATCACTGCCAGGTCTAATAGTGAAGGAAATATTTTCTTTTTTTTTTGTCACCGACACACACTTTGTCGGTTTGTCCATCTAGATGTGGCCATCTCCCGTTATTTGGTGATCAGGTACACAAACGTGAAATCGATGCTATATTATAGGAGAATCACGTGAAAGCTAGTATACTATTACATAGTTGTTGAGGGGCGCATCCATCGAATATTTTTCTGCACTGTAGCTTCTGGACCGCCTGTCCCTATAAATCACATTTTAAGTAACACGGTGACCCACATGTCCAGCCGCCCTGCAATCGGTAGTTGACAGCGTAACAAGCGTTGCATGTGCATTCATCTGGGCATCTGGCAAACTGCACAAAAGTCTTACGTAATCTTGAAATGTGTTCAAAAGCTTAGCTATTGATGAAGAGCTAGCTTTTCTCTCGTATTAAAATATGAAAATAAATACTTAGAGCTAGCTTAAAAGTCGATTGTTGGAGCTGCCCTAAGGTATAGATGTGGGCACCTTTAGTGTGCCCTTTTAGAGATGCCATAATGTATATCCTTTACATTTGATTAAGTGTTATGTACAAAGGCGGGCCTTGGGTTCTCCTGGCAAACTGCACAAGCGGTAGCTTACCTAGTCCGCCTATGTTAATTAAGTGCTATGTCTGTGCAAATCATTTTGCAGTAGTGGCAGAAATTTGTGCAACCTACGTTTAACTAATTATTTGTATGAACTGGTATAATTTTCTTCATTTAGGCAACAGTCAAGGGTTAAAAGCCTTATGACTAGCTGAACTACACAAGGGGCGCACCTTAAGTATGTAGATACAACTTGTTTTGACCTCCGTACTTGCTTTATGGATGTATAATTTGATGGTGTATTCCTTCTACTTGTTGCTCTGTTGATCCTTTCTTGCGCATTCCTTGTAATATTCTCCTTTGGGTGTAAGATATAAGCCTGCACCTCACGTATAAATACTTCGATTCTTCTTAGATCACTGCCCTTTTCAGTTTCGCTAGCACTAGTTCTTCTCAATTTACAAACAAATAAGGACACATTTTTTTTTTTTTTTCTCACGCTTATACATTCTCTTCATCTAGATCTAGATCGAGCCAACTCCCAAAATATCCTCATTCATGGTGAACATATTAGAGAATAAATATAAAACATGCAATGAAGGCTATATAAATATTTGCTTGCATCATGGAGTACACGTCATTGCATTGTCTACGGCAGGAGGGGAAGTGCACATATAGACATCTTTTTTGCATCTTGTCGCCGTCCCATCCTCCATCCACTGGCGTCCAAGAAAAGCGTTTTCATGCAACCAAGATTCTCTCCTGCTGTGGTCCGGAACATGCACGTCGTTTTCATTGTCTCAAGGTTGGTCACTGGCCTGTTCGTTTGATTTGACACGTGTATGATCGCACTAATTCATGTTGATAGAGGTACTTACGGTGTTTCACTAGTGCAATGAAATATAGCGTGAGCATCAGGCTCCTTTTGTGTGCCGAGGCCGGTGGAAACAAATTGGTCGCATATCATCTCAACTGACACTTAGCTTGAAACGAACAACCATGGTTGGTCATGGATTATTTTAGTCCATCATTGCCATTGACATAAATACATTAAATATTTATTAGTTTCACAGGTTAATAGTTTCGTTTGTGCAGCACAAGAAGATGAAGCTGCCAGCATGTTCTGAAATATGCATATGTTCTTGACTATCGTCTGAAGAAAGCACTAGCTACATGGAAAACAGACGATCAGATCATCGGCGGGCCTATGGATGGGCTCGGTGGGCTTGTCCACAGATTTTTTTTTTGTCTTTCCTAATTCATTTTTCATGAGACGTAGGCGTTCCGACGCCTCTGTAAAGCCGCATTCAGCAGGCCTTTTGGCAGAGGCGGACGCTTTGCCTGCCTCATAAAATCCAAAATGCCCGCTTGGGAAAAGAATATTGTAGTAGTGTAGTTTTCAAATAGTTTCACAGGTGAAGCTCTAAAAACATATTCTCTTAGCAGCTTCTCCTAGCTTTCACCTGCACCAATGGCCCAGCGTGGGCAGAGGTCGGATTTGACCTCACACACTATGGAGGGTGGGCTCGGCTGCCACCGGGGTGCACGAGCACACGAGCACACATGACCGGAGATGACGACGTCGGCGGGGTGCATGGGTGCCGGGGCTGGGCGGGTACGTGTGATGGAATGTGGGGATAACAACGAAGAAGTAGAAATTGGAGAGGAGGAAAAAAGAGAAATAGAAGGGCATTATGGCTATTTAAGTATTTTTGTCTACCATGAGGGGTTGATTTGCTAAATGTTTTACTAAAAAATATCTTTAAAACTGAAGCAAAAAAACTGGTCCACTAGTGAAGCAGATCTGTGACAACCAGGCATGGGATTTAGGAGCGTTTGCTGTGGTTCATTGGGGTGGTTCAATTTGTAAGCAACTGTTTCATGACTATTTTCTCTATCCATGACTTTCAAAACAAATTGTAGAAAATTAAAAATGTAGTAGCTCCAATGCCAGAGATTATCTGTTTGGATTGGCTGTCTAAACTGACCAAGCTGATGGCTAATTTCGTACTAACAACTCTTAAACGAATGCCACACAACTCCATGGGACACTGAATCTGTACTTAGAGAAGTTGATACCTTTATTTCAAGTACAAGCGTTGCCGTGATGCCTTCAATGAATACTATGGCCGCGCAACCACATGTTAAAACGACAAGCCAACAGCTGCTTCGATTTTTTAGTGTTTACTGATGTAATCAGAATGTCATTTAGATCCTCTGCTCAGCTCAGAAAGTGTGTTTTTTAAAGTTTCAAAGCATTTGAAACAAGGTGTGATAATGTCAGCATTTTCATTCACTCGCTTTCTTTTTGCTTCCCCATGAAACCAACAGGGCTCACGCACTCAGTCCACTTGCTTTGTCTTTACTGTCCGAGCTGGTGAATTACATAGAGAAGATGATACCTTAAGTACAGAAAATAAGTTGTCGCGAATCGCGATGCCCTCAACAGATTCTTGGCGCGCGCAATCTTGCAAAGGTCAACTGATCCTGTTTTGACCTGTTTACATATATAGAGACCAGGTCTACAAAATCTATATATCCTAGCAGTTCGGAAACAACCCCATCCCATGCCACACCCAGTTCTGAACGTTGCTGTCAAAGGGCGGTTGGAGATAGCAGCCCTTGGGATTTACATACTGATCTTGTACTCCAGATTCAAAGGCCCATCCATTATTCTCCTGCTGCTTGCGAATCCTGGTCGTTACCATGCTTCCAACCTGATTGGTAGTGTGCTGTTGCTCTGGAGGAACAGATCAGCGTACTAGTTCCTCCAGCTACAACGGAGAAGCTGCATTCTTGAGCCATTATTGTCAATTTGAGGGAGGCGCGGCAGCAGTGGCGATGTTCAGAATGGGAGAGGGTAAAAGGGGAAGAAGGAAGATGGAGCGGCGAAGTGGGAGGGACGGGGAACCATAGGGGGGTTAACAGCAAAAGATAACCCAAAAAGATAATGGACCTATGATGCATGAGTCTCTTTTTATTATTTTTCGAATATAGAAAACAAGCTATAAAAGCACCTATAAGACCATGTCCAGTTTCAACAGTTGAAGGGCGTCTGGTACGGAATTTCATATAAATTGTAGCTTGAGAAATTCTCTATAGCCTTGATAATAGAGCTATCTGCGTACATAGGAGGGCCATACTGTCCATAGTGCTTTGCCTCTCCTATAAATAAGAATGAAATCCTGTCATCTTGAGCAAATGCAGCCACTCGATCCTCATCTCTGCCTTGAGCCGCTTGCCTGCTCGTCATCTCGTCCAAGGAAGGAAGAGACCGATGGCTTCTCTGCCAGCCACCGGCGGTGCTGCAGGTGGCGATTCAGACCAGGTAATTCCCAGTTCGTTCACTCTGCGTGGAGACCATGTGCTGCTCTTCTCCTCCGCTTCTGCTCCCATTACTTCACCTGCTGCTTCTGCCTCTGCTGCCACCACAGCCCACAGCACGAACCCGTCCCCATCCATTGCAGGCCAAAAGGCCACCAGACGCCCAGTTTTTTCTAATACAGTGTTTCCATGAATGAAGGTGGTGTTTGGTTCATTTTTCCAAACTTCACTTTGGATAAGTTTTGACCAAGTTAGCAGGTGTTTAGTCAGCAATTAAACTTAGCCAACTGGTTTTGACCAAATTTTGTAGTAGGGATCAGGAGGTGTGAGCCCCTACTGGTTATATATAAAAAGTAGGGAAAAGAAGGATCCGAGTTTACAAAGTTAGAAAACAAAGAAGCTAACCAAAAAATTAAAACTGAGCTTTTTATCCATTGAGTTATTATTTGGATGAAATAATTAATTCGGCTTAATCTCTTGTAACCAAGAGAATCAAACCATTTATTACATAAGTTGAGCAACACATGTGCTCATCAAGCACACTGAAATATCAATCCTAGCATTATTTGGCCATTAAAAAGAAGTAAAGAATCGCACTGCCGCCATTTCTAACGTCTGACAAACTTGGGAGCTGGAATCCTTGGTTTCATCACACATTTGCAATTGTGCCCAATGTTATAGTCCTTTGAGTAAAAAACCTGGAAAAGAGATTTGGGTTGGCATTTATCAAAACCATATTATTTCTTACTAACCATATGTCCAACAAATGACTGCACCACCTATCAATAACAATGTCTTATTTGATCCACCTTTTTGTTTGTGCCAATCATGAAGTATATCCATTCATTCAAAGTGGGTTTGAGACCCAAAACAAAGTGTATCGCCCGCCACTGGAACTTAGCATACAAACACTCGAAGAAGAGGTGTTCAATAGTTTCATCCCTACTACAAAACACACAAGATTTGCTCCCATTCTGATTCCTCTTTCATAAATTGTCTTTAGTTAAAATCACCCCCTCTTGATGAGTCACAACAAAATTAATTTTCAGTGGTATATTTTAACGCCAAATATCCTGCAAGACTTTATAATGCCCGTATCGACAAGGTATTTACGCCGTGTTTAGTTGTAGGAAGTTGGAATTTGGGGCTACTGTAGCACGTTCGTTTTTATTTGGCAATTAGTGTTCAAACATGGACTAATTAGGCTCAAAACGTTCGTCTCGCAATTTCCTACCAAACTGTGCAATTAGTTTTTTTTCGTCTACATTTAATGCTCCATGCACAGGCCGCAAACATTCGATGTGACAGGTACTGTAGCACTTTTTGGGATTTTGGGGTGGAACTGAACACGCGCTTATACATGGAATTTACTGTGAGCTCGCCACTATTTTTAATGAGGAAGAACCTATCTTGTCCAACTTGTATGTTAAGGTTTGCGACTCTTGCTACAAAGTTATTCCACTCAACCAACTTAATTCCGACTAAAGCCCTTCTGAAGGAAACATTTAGAGGAACTACGTCTAGAAACATTTAGAGGAACTACGTCTAGAAACATTTAGAGGAACTACGTCTAGAGGATGTGCAACCAACCAGATATCTTTCTGAAACCTCATTTCAGTACCATATCCTAATTTGAATTTCCCTAAGCTCATGGATTGATCTTTCACTCCCAATGATCCATCCGAAAATGAGAATCATCAGGTTGTTGTAACCCGTGACAATGTTTAGTCTTTAATGTAACTTATTTATTTCTTAGCAGCTCCTGCCAAATACCATCTTCATTGGTCAATTTGAAAAGCCATTTGTTTAACCTAGCATTTATTCTATAAATTCAGGTTCTGTATACCAAACCTCCATGTTCCTTTGGTTGGCAGATAACAGACCACTTAGCAAGTCTATTTTTTCAGTTGATCATAGTACCAAAAAAACAACAATCTAAAATACTCTATTTCCTTTAGAACACTTCTTGGGATGTCAAAGAAAGAAATCATGAACATGTGTAGGCTAAACAAGACTGAACTAATCAGGACTAACCTTCCACCCAACGACAGTAATTTTCCTTTGCATCTACATAATCCCTTCTTAAATTCTTTCTTCAATTAATTTTCAGTCCTTATTGTTGAGTTTCTATAGTGTACTGGTATTCCTATGTATCAGAAGAGATAAGTACCTATTTTCGAACAAATAATTGAGAATATTGTGTGTCACACAACTTGGACTGCCGAAATACATTATTTCAGTTTTGTGAAAATTTGTCTTTAGATTTGATATTGTTCAAATGTGAAGAGCAATAACTTCATATTCATAGCTTGTGCAATATCATGGTGTAGTAATAAAATAGTGTCATCTGCGTATTGCGAGATAAGTAAACCATCATATTTAACGTGAAGTACGATCCCACAAATTTGACCACATTCCTTGGCCCTAGCCATGGATGACAACCAACATATCCATCACTATATTAAAAAAATAGGAGATAGTGGGCCACCATGCCTTAAACCTTTCTTTTTGGAAGATGAGTGGAAAATATTTGGTTTCCGTACATTGGATAACCAATGTGAACTCCTGCTTGGAGATCATCCGACATCTCTATTGGCTTTGTGGGATTTGATGGAAAATGAATTCATTCCTTGACATCCAAATACTCCAGCACATAAACGTAGCCAATGTTCTTTTGGGCTCCACATGTCATAGAGTAAAAAAGGTATGGCAATATTCTCTTAGACATGGAAAACTCTAGCCCCAAATTTTCTGTTCACACTTTTTGTGGCTTGCCACACTTAGCTAAGTTTAGTTGCGGCAAATTAAAGCTAGGAACCAAATAGCCTTGAACTCAATAGAACATTAGGCTGAGAACAATAGTAATGGAAGTTTCTCAGCACACGTCACTAATGACGTATGCAAAGTGGCATGCATTGTTTAGACTAAGCACTAGTAACTAGATACATCATGTACCTGTAACTAATAATGGCCCTTAAAAACGATGGTTCAGTGTAGTGTGCTCAATTTTCATTAACAACTGTTTGCTTGTTGGTACCAGAACTGAAACACATTCCCTGTATCCTCTATTTTCTAGGTTTTGGTAGAAGCACATGGCTCAACACGCACACTTATTTTGAATAGGCCAAATCAGCTTAATGTACTCTCCTCCGCAATGGTATGTTAAGAGTTCACTAGTATTACAGTACCGTGTTTACTTTTAGATTAGTAGGTACAGGATGATTGTTCTATCATGTTGCAGATTAAGGGACTCCTGAGGTGTTTCATTGTTTTTGAGAAAGATGACAGAGTTAAATTGTTGATTATGAAGGTATCTCATAGCACTGTGTTTGTATTGTAATTCAATATTTGAGGTGGTCAGTTGTCTAACTTAGATTATAGATGTCTATTAGGCTTCAGCTCACAGAGCTTTCACATGCTCGGACTTCTCCAAATGAACTAGGAGCCATTGAAACAACTATTTTTGGTTCCACTACCTTCGGCTCTACCGCGCACTGTAGCAAGGAGCTGGAGCCATTTAGAGCCATGCCAAATAGGGCATAAATGTGTGTTTCTCCAATAGAAATTAAAATGCATAAAACAGTCATGAGAGAACATGAGTTGCCCAAGCTAGCATCTCCCAAATAGATAATACACAGAGGTAGAGGTGAAGCATTTTACTCTGTTGCAATTTGAAGCACGTATTGAACTTATGAATTCATAATGATTCTTGTTGCCACGCTAAATCTTGCAAAATATAAAGGAACAATATTTGAAAATTGAGCTGCTTGTATTCTAGTGATCTAACTTTTCATTCCTTAAAGCATCGTCAGACTCGCTATAGAGTTTACTTTAACTTGCATTTCTTTCTTCATTTCAGTATGTTTCTCATTTCCTTCTATTAGCTAATTTAAATTGATATGATAATAACTATAATTTTATTACCACTGGGAAACCGTCTGTTGATCTCAATGTTTGTCATTGTGTTGAAGCATGACTTGTTTTCAGGGGAAAGGAAGAGCATTTTGTGCTGGAGGTGATGTTACTGAATGTGTCCGGTCTATACATAACGGTAACTACTTTAGAATGTCTCTAAGGTATCTATTGTTCAATGAAGATTTTTTTGCATGTTTCTAACCGTCTTATGTGTGGCGAACACGCCTAATCTAATGCTCTCTCAAGGGTACTTGTCCTCCATTAGACACTAAGTACCCAAGGGAGTGCACTAAATCATGCCGTTCCGACGAACTCACCCAAAGGGAGAGCTCGAAAATCCACGTTTTTCGTCAAGATCATAAATGAGAAGATCAAGCTTACAACATTCTTAGTCATTTCTTAAATCACTTTATTACAACATCCGAGTACTTAAACAAGTTGAATGCAACAGCAGGATTAAAACTGTTTACATGTAAACGAGTTTATACATTTCAGGTTCACAAGTTTTATCTTGCAGCGGAAAATAACATATGATCAGAGTTACAACGGAAACAAAGATTAATTTAATGACATGGTAAAGCATTAACATAGTGGCCATTTATATACAAGATATGCTAGCAGATTTTACATCTTTTCTTATAAAAACTTTAGTGAGGGTTATAAATAAACACTATGATCGCAGCTTGAAAAAATTTCTCTCGAGCCCAGCCACCGGGAGGTTTCCACACACAAGAGTCAGCTCTAGCATCCACCTGTCACCTGCAACAGGAGGAATAAAACCATGAGTACTTGATTGTACTCAGCAAGACTTACCCGACAGGAGGAAAGTAAAACACTCCAAGGATATGCAAGGCTTATTTGGCATGCTGGTTATTGCATCTATAGGAAGCGTTACTAAACGTGCGTCCTTATGTTCAATTTTATTAGCAGTCATCATTAGTTCATTAACTTACCATTCTATGTAAGCACCTATGCTACTTTCAAGCAGGTGGTAAGCAATCAGAACCATTTTACCATATTTCATATTACAGTTCTTACTACGGTGTTAGACCATAGCCAAGTCGTACTGTCTCACAGAAATGGCGATTCATGAATCAATGTATCCTTGCTGGGTACCTCGAAACACACACCCTGTTTGTACCCCAGGCATAAACGATACCAACCCATTTCACTCTGTCGAGGGGTCCACATCTCCATCCAAACTTGACTCCAAGCCCCCACACTTGAGACCCGGTCTCAGTGTGATGCTTAGACCTCCACCTTTCCCCGTCTCCAATCAGTCAGTTCGGAAAGAGCTAGAATCCACGACAAGAGCGCAACGAGCCTTCCCACTCCCATAAGCAAGTATGTGCTCAGGATAATAAGTCTGTGACCTGACTACTATCCACAGCAATGGATGGTCCTCAATCGACACAGGCGGAACAAGTACAATCCAAGATTCGCTCGAATGCCTAACCAAGTCCAGATCTAAAGTACCATTCTGCCTGGTCTCCAATTATCCTCTATATATATTCCATGTGATAGTAATATAACAACAACAATAATATCTTTCCTATCTCTCACGAGTGATAGGTAATCACTCGACTTCTACCGCATCCTATAGCATAGCAATCTACACGATCCTGACATACTAGTAGGACTCATAGGGTAAGGATATATATGCAAGTGGTTTTGATTCAACTCCTTAAAACTTAATTCACAAGCATAAGATAAAGTACAGAATAATAGGGGTTATGCACCGGGGCTTACCTGGGCAAGATATAACCAAGGATTAGCATTCCATCGGGGCGACACGATCACCAAAGCTCCATCTTTTTCTGCTTTTCTGGTCGACTCCATGATCCATCGTTGTCCCTATTATGATATACATAGACGCAACGCAGAAAATGTAATTAACCAACGACAACCGCAACTCTAAGAATACGATTACGCCTCTCACGCTAACGAGCTAGCTTTAACAGCTAATGCACTAGGCTACGTATCCATATTGCTGAATAAGGCGTTATTTCCCAACAAAAGTTTCCGTTATACCATCCCGAGGTGTTTCGGCTTTTCATCGATTTAATATATATATTCGAACTAGGGCTCATTAGCTATCTTAGTAAACTAATTATTATGAAGCTAAAAAAATTACAATGAGCACCTAATAATATTAGGAATTTACTATGAAATTTTTAGAGCCAACACTATCACCAATTTATTACAAAAATTCCTATAAATTTATATCTTAACAATATTAAGCATCTCAATTTAATTAGATAACTCCTGAAAATACTATGTGAACAAGATATACTAGCAGATAACTATGTGAACAAGATATACTAGCAGATAGATCATGATTTAGGAACCTAACAAAATTAGTTTCATAATTTTTGGTTAGCTGCACAAATTTATATTGAATTTATAAGTTTGCCTTAGAAACTAAATTGGAAAATGCTTAGAAAATGAGAAGGGCTGGTGGCAACCAATTCGGCCCGGCAACCCAACGGCCCATGATGGGGAGCCCGTGTGCTGGCACTTTAGCAAATGAGCCCTCAGACTTTTCCTAAACCACGACTAAGTCCTTATACTATTTCTTCCTTTCTCTAGCGAATTCACTTAACCCCCCTAGATTTTTCCAAATTTTGTCGCGCGCACCCCCGGCCACCCCATGCACGGCGACGCAGCGAGCGGCGGCACTGGGCATCCACGCCGGCCACCAGGGGCCTGCGCGGACCCATTTGGCGGGTTGGTCGCCATCTACGGCTAAACGCGCCTAGACCTAGATGGGTGGTAGTTAGGGGCTCGGAGGCACATTAGTGCGAGCTGCAGCGGCGAGCAACTATCCGCAGCGGCGGCACGCTCGTTCCGATGAGAGAAGAGGACAGAGGGAGAGGAAAAGTGGTGCGCGAGCACCAGTGACATACCACGAGTACAACCAACACATCCGTGAAGTGGAAGAGACCCCATGCGGTGCTGGCCACGTACGACCGAGCTTGATGGCAGTGCTCTGCGATGGACACCGACGCGTCACCATGCCATAGATGACCATCCTGGCCAAAATAGCGCGAGCACCGTATGGAGGGAGTCAAGGCGAGCTCAGGGTTACGAGCAATCGAACTGCTACCACTCCTACATGCCTTACCTCCCAACCTTCCGATTCGGCGGCGCCCATGACCGGCTACAAGCAAAAGGCCAAATTGTCGCTAGGTAGGGCATGACCGAGCTTGAGGGGGAAGAGACGACTAGCCTACTTCCTAAGCTACCCGCTAGAGCGAGGAATTATACGGCGAAGCCACTGGCGCTAGGAGGAAAGGAGGAGCGGTGGCTCAACATACCATGAGCTCATGGAGAGGGTACACGAGCGAACCCGAGCAAGTTAAGATGGGTGGCTCCGCTCGATGGTGGCAGCAGTACGAGCTGTGTACGGACGACGAGACCTCGAGGCTTGGCACGAAGCGCTCAGAATCGCATGGCCAGACTCGAGCAGGGCTCCCCAGTGTTGGCTAGCAAGGGCAAGTGAGGAAGGGAGGTATCCCATCGCCGCTGTGACCGGGGTAATCGACCTAGATGCAGCGGGCAGCGGCACATGCTCAGAGACTTGACGCAGTAGGTAAAATGAAGGGCGAGGCGAGGGACATGACGGCAAGGCAGCGACAGTCATAGCTCCGTCTCGACCATGCGCGCAGCTCGACGGCTAGATGTTGGCGCACTCACACCGCGGTAGTGGGACCAGACCGCAGCCAACCGGGTCGGCCAACGCAAGGCCAGGGCGTAGCGCGGCATCGGCCTAGTGCACGAGCTAGCCAGCGACCGCAGCTCGGTCATGACGTGAGCCTGGCGCCAACAGCGTTGTGCCCGCGGTGACCGTGAACTCAAACCGAGCGACTACTATTGGTGACATGCACGCATTTTAAAGCGAAGCGAAAGCTACTAAGGATCGCAATTGAGGCCCAACTAATTCGCCTATCCTAAAGTCAACATTATCGGTGACCTAGCAAAGCCATCGCCATGGCTAGAGAGAATTGAGGCCCAACTAATTCCCCTATCCTAAAGTCAACATTACTAGTGACCTAGCAAAGCCATCGGCATGGCCAGAGAGCAGCCAGAGAGGGGGATAGAAGGATGCCAACATGAGCTCGTCGCGCTGAACGCTAGTTCACTAACAGAGCATCAACAACATGGTTACAACACATTCCAACGAAGTTTGGGGAATTTTTAAGAGAGCAACGTGACACCCAACGCAACTACGACCTACCCCATGCCCAAGAGCTTACTTAGATGCAACCAACAATACAAGAATATAAAACTAGTGTTTAAACATTTTAGTTAGAAGTTAAATGCCAAAATGGCATTGCCTACTACTCTTTCAGACTTATAAAAGACAATAGTTCAGTTTGAACTTAACAACCATGAACACTTTTGCCACAATTTTTAAAAGGCCTAATCTTGATTAACTTCAACCAACAAGTACTTCATGCAATAGTCCATACTTTATACTAAACCATAGGAACAAAATATTTAAGCACTATTTAATTACTTTGCTCAATATAACTCACCAAAAATAGTACTTTAACATAAGTTCAGACCTTTGCCGACTTAACGAAAAGGTTGATTTTAATACCCAATTTGATTTTTGGAGCTCCCAAGAACATTAGTTAACACATTTATTTTCAAAAAATTAAAGTTGCATTTTCATCTACACCACTTGCTCATCATCTTTACATAAGCACTATGCACAAGTTACATTTTATTTTTGTTTATAGAAATTATTTTTCGTACCAAACAATTAAAACTACTTATTTTATTCTTCTTATTAGAATTTTCATTAGCACATTTACGCACTAAGTAAATTAACATAGATATTTATTTGATTTCTCTCAACCATAAAAGTGAGTCGCACAGGGTTTGTTTATCATTTCATGTGTGTTTTAAATTTTTAAAACTCGAGAACTTGTTTTGCTAATTTCTCTTAGGCCTTAACCTAGGTGCTAAGCAAGCTCGTAACACCAGTGGTGTTACATTATGTGACCTGACTCAACACGCATGCTACATGTTTCAAATGGTCTAAGGTTGTTCTACATGTTTTGTTGACTGTGTTGTGTGTATAATTCTTAAATCAGAAAGCTGGAAATGGGGTGCTGATTTCTTCAGAGATCTATATTTGTTAAACTACATGAGTGCAACATATATCAAACCTCAGGTGAGCTGCATCCCTTCACATTAATTCATTCTAATTATTCACTTCTCTGTTCGTTGCCTCTAAATTAAATGCTTAGACAATTTAACTATAGGTTTCTCTTCTTACTGGAATTGTCATGGGTGGAGGTGCTGGTGTTTCTTTACATGGAAGATTTCGAGTTGCCACTGATAACACGGTATACACTAGAAACCAAAATCAAGTGACATTTTTCTTACGTTGTCACTTTTACTTATCTATTCAAGATAGCCAGTAGTTTTGAAGCACAAAAAGTTGGCGTGTCATGATGCAGCTCGAGATCTGCTTGTTTAAGGTTCTGCTGAATATAAACTTTCAGGCATAGTATTCATCACAAAAAAAGACCCAGGATCACTGCCTTTCACTACCTTTTCTGTTGGATATTACGCCTGAATGTTTAATTGTTTATTGGACTAGATTTCAGTTATGGTGCATATATACTTTCCTTTTTGTGAGCTTGATGAGTGATATTAGTTCTTTTACTTATTTGGAATATTGAGAATCTCGCTTTATTTTTATTAGAAAATCGTAGCATTTTCAAGGGCCAAAATATGGGTCATTTACATTTCAAATATTCCTGCAGGTTTTTGCAATGCCAGAAACAGCTCTTGGTTCCCTTCCAGGTGTAGGGGCCACATATTTTCTGTCTCGGCTTCCTGGCTTCTATGGTTATCTAATATTTATCATTGCAATTTATTTAATGTTTCTATGTATTATTAACAGTACGGAATACTATGCATCCTCGGATTATTCTTTAGTTTGCAGTTTTACAAATGATTTTTAGCAAGTGTGCTAGATTTTTGAGGAAATGATCTATGCAATTATGTAAGTAATTATGAAGATATAATTATATAAAGAAATAAAGAGTGGCCAAGTTTCTTGTATTCTATTTGATTTTTGGTTTCATATTTTGTTAATTACTTGTACTTAGTGAGGTCAGCCTTCTAGTTGGTGGTAAAGGTATCTTGAGAGATACTGTTAACTAAAATGTTATCTTAATTTTTTACAGGCGAGTATGTTGCTCTTGCTGGTGCCAGATTGGATGGTGCTGAAATGCTGGCATGTGGTCTGGCTACTCATTTTGTCCAGTCAAATGTAGGTTCACTTGTAATTTAAAATTTCACTGGGCTGCCAATTTTTGCTTCCGGTTATGATGTTTGCTGTTGTATTTATGGTTATTATTCTTTGGAACATGCTACATAAATCCTGACATTATTCATATATAGCATTCGAATGCTTTCAAATTTATAGGCCTGCATCATTGAAGTCATGTATGTCGTATATTAGTCAACAACTCCTAGTAAATACTCTTTGTTAATTTACCAGAGACTACCATTGCTCCAAGAATCCCTCAAAAAGCTGGACACCTCCAATACTTTTGCCGTGTGTAGTACAATCGATCATTTTGCTCAACAGCCATCATTGAAAGAAAATAGTTCCTTGAATAGGTAAGGGTGTTTCTGATTGAATGACTGAAATATGCCCCACTGATAATGTCACTAATTTTTCAATCTCTGGCGCACTCCAGGTTGGAAATAATCAATAAATGCTTTTCTAAAAGCACAGTTGAAGAAATTATATCCACTCTAGTGAGTTTGTTATAGTAAATATAGGTTTCTATGCGTTCACCTTTTCTGTCTTGACAAATTATTAAATACATATTTATCCTGTCAGGAGCAAGTGGCCTCAAATTTGGCTGATGAATGGGTTGCTAGGACAATCCAGTATTTAAAGAAGGCTTCTCCTACTAGTCTGAAAATCACTCTGAGATCGGTATCCATTAGAAACCACACCCCATATATATAGCTGTGTGCACCAGAATATAGTTGTTTCATTATTTGTTTTGTGCCTTGGAATTCAGATAAGAGAAGGGAGAACACAAACTGTTGGGGAGTGCTTGCATCGGGAATATAGGGTGATTTGCCATCTCATACGTGGTGACTTCAGCCGAGACTTCTATGAGGTAATTAAATATGGACATTATCAACACTGCTATTGTAACAGGCGTGATGGGGGGAGGGGGTGTGGCGGCTATGGAGGTGGTGGCTAGGGCTTAGGGCGTGGGGGAGGGGGGGCGAGGGAGAGAGAGAGGAGGCGGCGGCAACAGAGGGAAAGGAGAGGGATAGAGGAAGGAGCAATAGCTCTATTCTTGCTTGATTAGATTGATTACATCCTCCCTATATTTATAGTCCCTATAGGACTTGTATTCCAAGCAACTAAGAGAGATATCCTTATACATTGGATTCTGCTTTCCTAAACAATCCAAACTCTAGTTTTCCTAATTTATTCCTTACTCCTATTTTATGCCTCTAATTTCTTTCGGGCGGCGGGAGGCGCAGAGGTGGCGTTGCTGCCCCTAGGTGCGTGCCCCCTCCTTAGGCCGCAGCCGGCCCGCTTGCTGGTCCGCTGGGTTCGGGCTGGGAGGCGTGCTATCGGACATGTTACATCACTCCCCCTCTCTCGATCAGCGCGTCCCTCGCACCGAAGTTGTATCCAAGTGTCGACGCGCATTGGTAGGGTAGGGATGTCCTGGGAGGATGGCTTCGATGCCGGTGATGAGTTGACCCTGAATTGGGTCTGCATTGAGGTTGTCACCGGTGCGTTCTGCGATGAACTCAAGGCGGTAGAGTAAGTTTCCAATGTAGCCGTACAAGAAGTGGGTGTATGGTCTGATCACTCCTCCTGTTGTTTTTGTTATTTGTGGAGCGCCCACGAGCAAGTGGCGCTGGATGGCGGCGTCGGCGGTGAAGTCCTGCATCTCTTGTGACGGTTGCATGAAGTCGTTGTAGCAGTTGGCATTGTTGGGGAGGAGGTAGACGTCCACGTGCCGCCAAATAGTGTCGGTGGAATGTGTGGCGGTGTTGTCGTCAGTCAAAGCATTTCTCCGAACATGAAGGAGCCCCTATCAAATTCGTTGGGAGATAGTCATTGCAACTCGGAGTTGGGTCGGAGGGCGATGAAGACATTGTCAGCACGGAATATCTGTCATCCCAGGTTGTCGAGGAAGATGACCGTAGTAGATGGTACTATGCCCTGCGGCCAGGGGCGTCCCAACAAGATGCCCGTGGGAGTGGCATTCTAGTGGGGGTGCCATTGGTGGTGGGTGGCAGCCGAGAGCTAGGTACCTTATATTTTCTGGATAACCTCGTAGCACAGCTTCAAGCAGTGTCGGAAGTAGTGGTGATGCCGCTGGGATGTAGAGGTGAGCATCGAAGAAGAGCGAGCTTCGGTCAATGGACCAAGCTGGTGCATCCGTCCCGTCGGTGATGGTGAGCGCGATGTGCCGTAGCTCACGTTGTTGCAGTATAGCTTGGCCAAGATTGTTGAAGACGGGCATGTTGGTGTTGATGTAGTCAAGGGCGGTGGGGCATCGAGACCGGCTTGCTCGGTTCATGATGTCGCGAGGCGTGATGATGATCTTTGTCGTGGGGGGTAGAGAAGCCGTCCACTCCTAGAGTGTCCTAGTGGTGGCCGATGGTGCTGGGAGGGCGAGGATGACCTCGAGGGTGCGCCGGGGCTGCACGTATGGCGTTGAAATAGATGGATCGTCCATTGTGGAAGTAGTGTAGCTCCGTGGTGGAGAAGTCCCAAGTGAAGCACCCAAGGTCCGCCAGCCAGGGCGTGCCGAGGATGACGTCGATATTGTTGTCGATCTCAAAGGGGAAGGTGCCGATCTGGAAGCTCTCCGTGTCAATGCAGAGGGGTACGGAGAAGGCCGCTGCTCGACACGAGACCTCGTTGCCACTACCCAAAAGGATGGTGGTGTGGGTGCGTTGCTCGAGGAGGCCTATAGCTCGGGCGACGTTGATGTCGATGACATTATGCGTGGCTCCTGTGTCGACCAAGATGTGGACGCCGGTGCCCAAGATTGCTCCTGCAAGATACATTGGAGCGGAGCCACGAACCACTGATTGGGTGGTGTTGATCATCATGAGTAAGCTATTGGTGGAGTCCGCAGTGTCATAGTCATTGATGCCGATAATTTCGAAGAGGTTCTTGTACTAGTGGTCGCATGTAAACGGGTCGTCGCAGGTGAAGCAGAGTCCTGAGCGGCGTCATTCCATCACCTCCGCTGAGGTGAGGCGCTTGAGGGGTCATTGAAGATCCGTCGCTGGTGTACCTGGTGTTGTTGTTGGGGATGCTGCCGGGGTCGTCACATCCGAAGGTAGGTTTGAATTGACTACCGCTTCAGAGGTGTTGGTGCGGTTGAAGAGGTGGCTGAACTCCTTCCTCCACTCACTGGTGATGTCGCGGTACATGTTTGGGCGGGGCGGCTTGCTATTGCTGGAGCGAGTATCGTTGTCGGCGAGCTTGGTGGTGGCGAAGATGGATGTGGGGGCGCTGCGTGGTGTCAAGGGCGACGAAGGTGCAATGGCGCCATGCCGCGATGTACTACTGCTGCAGTCCGTGATGGTGGAGGCTCCAATATTGGTCATCGGATCATAGTTGTTGTTGACGATGTAGAACCCGTTGTCCTGAAGGAAGACTCGATTGCTAGGGTTGTTCTTGCCGGAGTTCTCCATAGTTGTGGTTGGGATCGTTCTGGTCTTTGGATACTAGGTGTAACAGGCGTGATGGGGGGAGGGGGTGGCGGCGGCTATGGAGGTGGCGGCTAGGGCTTAGGGCGTGGGGGAGAGGGGCGGGCGCATGGAGAGGGAGAGAGGAGGCGGCGACAATAGAGGGGATGGGAGAGGGATAGAGGAAGGAGCAATAGCTCTATTCTTGCTTGATTAGATTGATTATATCCTCCCTATATTTATAGTCCCTATAGGACTTGTATTCCAAGAAACTAAGAGAGATATCCTTATAGATTGGATTCTCCTTTCCTGAACAATCCAAACTCTAGTTTTCCTAATTTATTCCTTACTCCTATTTTATGCCTCTAATTTCTTTCGGGCGGCGGGAGGCACAGAGGGGGCATCGCTGCCCCTAGGCGCGTGCCCCATCCTTGGGCTGCGGCCGGCCTGCTTGCTAGCCCGCTGGTTCCGGGCTGGGAGCATGCTATTGGACGTGTTACAGCTATGTATACTTCATTGCCATTGCACAGAAATATCTCTGTACCTAACATTCAATTCCCATTGCAGGGATGCAGGGCTATACTATTAGATAAAGATCGAAGACCAAAGGTTCATATAATTTCATATTTAGCACATTTGCATCAAATTTTGTTGCTGAGAGCTTATATTATCTGTTACAACCTTTAGAAAATGGTGATTCTTTATTTGGGACTTGCAGTGGATGCCTCCAAATTTTGAACAAGTACATGAGGAGGTAGTTGAAGAATATTTCTCAAGAATTGATGATCCACAGTGGGAAGATTTGAACCTACCCGACAGACGTTCTCATGGAAGAATTATTGAGTCCAAGATTTGATGGGAGTCTTTGGTGATGAGTTTAATGGAGCCTCGGTTGTGGTCAGAATAACAAATCATCTCATCTTTGAAGAGTCTGTGTAGACTGAAGACTACTGTTAAAATAAAACTGAATATGCTGTATAGGTCAACTTATATATTTGTTATTTAATTTGTATGGCTAGACTATCAGCCAACTCATCTCGTTTGGCCACTCGAGCATGCTCATTTTGCTCACGATCCATGGTAATACACTACTAGAGGATAGGCTATCACTGTCGGTTCTTCAATTGAAATTGACAGTTTTAGGTATCTACTGCCGGTTCCAGAAATACCAAGACAAGTAATGATTGGGAACCTCTTGAACCAGCACTAAATATGTTTATCACTACTAGTTTTACCTACTAACCGGTAGCGTTATAGCACTGCCAGTTCCAATAATAAAACATACTTAAAAATTAAAATACTGCTGCAGGTTTGTTGCACAACCAGGCTAGTAGTAAAGTTCATTTCAGCCCTCATAATGAATTCGAACCATTAACAGCCCGCATAACCTGCCTCACCATCAAATATCCGATCAGATTGATGGTTGAGATCACCAACCAATGAATACGTAAATCAATCATCACCCTCTCCTCACTGTTGGCCACCCCTGACTCGGGCATTTAACTATTTATCATCCTTTCAGGTGTCCACTAAATACGCATAGATTCAATGTTCTCCTACTAAATTTAACCTAGGACC